CCTAAAACCACCTTTTAACTTTATATCATCAAATCTAGCTTGAATTCCTCTGCCCTTCACTTAGTGGTGTGCTGGTAAATGCTTAACAACTGGTTTTATGAGGGCGGGGGAGCCCTGATTTATAGCATTTGCCTATTTCTGTGATGTAAATACTCCTACTGTGGTGAATTTCAAGTTATTAACATCATGTCACTCAATGAAGAGTTCAGAAAACATGCACCGTTATATATATTCTCACCATAAAGATACAATAGGCTTAATATATGTAATTTCAAGAGCATGGATAGCAGTATGAGAATTAGAATATGATGAGTTTTGAATATTTTTTCCTTTTAAAAAATATAAATTGTTTAATTGGAAGTTCATGTAATTTAATTGTTTAGAATGGCTGTGTTTAATAACTGGCTTGCAAGATTCCTAAAATTTTAACAGCCAGCTCTCACAAGTTAGTACAAATAAGCTCCCACACACCACTGTCTTTACTTGCATCCCAGGCAGATAAATTGATTAGACGTCCTAGTTATGCAGGACTTTGGTGATTTCTCATCCCCACCCCACCTCATTGTTTTGCTCAGTATTTTCCACTGAGTAATGTATGTCCCCTCTGTCCATTGTATAATATAATCATTTAATGTGATTTCTGATAGGAGCACTTCCAATCACAGACACAGAAGAATGGTAAAAATGGTGGAGGAAGAAGTAGAGATTAGGGATATTCTGCTATATTTTATAATTATAAAATGCTTTTGGATTTTGTATCTCATTTGCTTTTCACCACTTCCTTTAAGCACCAAAGGTAAACTGAGACTAGTCCAAGATCCCACAGCCAATGGAGATGGGATTTCTTTTTTTGTTGTTTTTGTTCTTTTTGTTTTGAGATGGAGTCTCGCTCTGTCCCCCAGGCTGGAGTGCAGTGGCGTGATCTCAGCTCACTGCAAGCTCTGCCTCCTGGGTTCACGCCATTCTCCTGCCTCAGCCTCCCGAGTAGCTGGGACTACAAGTGCCCGCTACCATGCCCGGCTAATTTTTTGTATTTTTAGTAGAGACAGGGTTTCACCATGTTAGCCAGGATGGTCTTGATCTCCTGACCTCGTGACCCACCTGCCTCAGCCTCCCAAAGTGCTGGGATTTCAGGCTTGAGCCACGGCGCCCAGCCCTGGAGTTGGGATTTCTAAAAAACCATGTCTGCAATGTTTTCATTCACACTTCTGACACCAAATGGGTGGGTTTTTTCCCCCCACACCAACCAATTCTCTGCACACCAGCTGGGTGTCCTACACTTCAGTTCAATTCTAGCACTGGCGATAGTGCAGACCCCACAGGTTAAGGGCTCAGTCCCACAGGACTGCCCCCACTTCAGATGCCAGTCCCAAGTCCTGTGTTTCCACCTGTACTTCTGACCAACCAGCTATAAATGGAGGGTTTTCATGACATGCTCCTCAGATTTGATAATTTGCTAGAATGGCTCATGTAACACAGAAAAATGCTTTACTATTACCAGTTCATTCTAAAGGATACAATTCGGGAACGACCAAATGGAAGACAGGCACAGGATGAGGTATGGGGAAGGGGTCAAGGTTTCCATGCCCTCTCTGAGTATACCACCCTTCCAGCATGTTGATGTATTCAACCCAGAAGCTCTCTGAACCTCATCATTTTAGGGTTTTTATGGTGGTTTGCATAGGTATGGTTGATTAAATCACTGATCATTGGTGATTGACTCAATCTTCAGCTCATCTCCCCTCCCTGAAGGCAGTGGGGAGAGCTGGACATTCCAACTCTTTAATCATGCCTTGGTCTTTCTGGCCACCAGCCCCCATCCTGAAACTGTCTAGGAGCTCCCAGCCATCAGTCGACTCATTAGCCTACAAAATACACTCTTATCGCTCCAGAAATTCCAAAGGCTGTAGGAGCTCTTGTTTCAGAATGTGAGGACAGAGACCAAATATGTATTTTCAATTGTATCATACCATGCCATGGAAAGAGATAGTGGAGAGCATGAATGACTTCAGTCGTAAAGCCACTGTCAGTCCTATGAGCCACCTTAGCTCATAACGTAGAGCATGTAACCAGCAATTAGGATGAGTAAGTTGAATTTTAAGTCTTGACAATGTCCCTGGAGCACACCTCTGGAATGGCTGGGACTGAGCTTGTGCTAGTATTGTGCCCATTTGGACACAGTCTCACCACTCAGCCCTAGACTGTCTCAGCCACATGACGCCCAGACGTGACGGCCAGTGCCCTTCCACTCTCCAGTCCTAGCTGCAGGTGATGGCTTGCAGACTAACACAGATCCCCAGGGCTGCCTCTGCTTGGGTAGCGGTGGCTGTTTGTGGGTTGCTGGCTTGTTTCTAAGAAGCCTGTCCTTCCTCCTAGGAGTAGCAACTCTGGGCAGCAGGGTGTCTGGGTGTTTGAGATCGGGAGTCTAGCCACCACCAATGGCGTGGTGCCTGCGGACGTGATCCTCGGAACTGAAGATGGGGCAGAGTATGATGATGAGGATGAAGATTATGACCTGGTGACGACTCGCCTGGGCCTGGAGGATGTGGGCACCACACCCTTCTCCTACAAGGCTCTGAGAAGGGGAGGTGCTGACACATACAGTGTGCCCAGCGTCCTCTCGCCGCGCCGGGCAGCTACTGAAAGGCCCCTTGGACCTCCCACAGAGAGAACCAGGTCTTTCCAGTTGGCAGTGGAGACTTTTCACCAGCAGCACCCTCAGGTCATAGATGTGGATGAAGTTGAGGAAACAGGAGTTGGTAAGACCATTTAAGTTGCAGTCGGTAAGGTCTTGCATGTGTGGACTTCCAGACAGGCATACTGCTGGGGAGATGTCAGTTGTGAGCATTACGTGGTGGTTTGTAAGGATAAGAGCTTGGGAAAGTACAGGCTGAACTCTCACAGCTGTGGAGCCTTGGTGTTATATGCCCAGTGGCTTCAGAGATGCTCAGTGATCTTTTGGGATTAGGACCATGGTTTTGGAGACTGTTGAGTGTGTCTTCTTTCAAGTTTCCTAGTATTCCATTCCGTCTGTTTTAAAGAGAAAACGTCCGTTAGAATTATTTTGAAAGTCAGATTTTCTTGTGATTTCTCAGATCAGAAATGTATTCATCCACCTGAAAAAACATTTTAGAAGTTCTTTTGGCTGTTTATGAAGCTTATCTTTGACATTTATTTCCTCA